GAGGCGCCCTGGAAGTGGGGCCGGTTGTCATTCTCATTGAGGACCTGGACGATGATCCGGTACTCAACCTGTGGGGGTGACTCATGGTGGAACCGAGCCCCCCATAGCCACCAGAGGCCCTCGGGGTGCCCGGGGCTGTACCGGGGAGAAGCCATCCTCAGCGCAAGTCAGGGCCACCATCAGCACTGGGGACTCCAGTTCCTGCAAAGGGGGCATGGTGGGGGGAGGGGTTTGAGATCCCCAGGAACACCCCAAGAGGTTCCCTCACCCAGTGGGTGCAGGTGGAGGGAGGTGGCTGCTGGATGGATGAGGGTGCAGTGGGTAAAGACAGGAGGGACGCCAGATGGAAGTGGGTGCAGGATGGATGGATGGAGCCAGGATGGGCACAGGACTGGCACACAATGCATGTAGTAGATGCAGGATGGACACAGGATGGATGGATGGATGAACACAGGATGGGCACAGGATGAGTGCAGAAAGAATGGAGAGACCCAGGATGGACCTGGGATGGACATGGGATAGATGGGCTCAGGATGAACCCAGAATGGATGGACGGACCCAGGCTGAGTGCAGGATGGATGGACCCAAGGTAGACCCAGGACAGACCCCAGTGGATGAAGGATGGATGGAGAATGGACACTGAAAGACGGATGGGTGAATGCAGGGAAGATGCAGTTGGATGGAGGAGGGATGGGCAGAGCAGGATGGAAGAAGGTGGATGTATGATGTGGGCAAGATCGTTGCAGGATAGAGGATGGGTGAAGGATTGACACAGGATGGACACAGGCAGACGCAGAATGGATGGAAGATGGAGAGAGGTGGATTGAAGGAGGGATGATGGAGGGAGGTGGATGCAGATGGGACACAGGGATGCAGGATGGGTGGAGAATGGAGGTAGATGGACACGACGGATGCAGGATGGAGGATGGGTGGAAGAATGGACCCGGGATGGGTTCAGGATGGATGGAGAATGAGTGGAGGATGGATGGACGCAGGATGGTGGATGAAGACAGGTGGACACACGATGGAGGCACAATGGAGGCAGGACTATTGGGGGATGGATGGTCCGTGAAGGCAGGATGGAGAACGGATAGAGGATGGACCAAGGATGGGTGCAGGATGGTTGGAGAGCGGATTGGGGATAGATGGAGGCAGATGGACACATGATGGAGGCACAACAGACAGGATGGAGGTGGGTTAGGGGCAGGATGGCAGTTGGGTGGATGCAGGCTGGAGCTGGGCAGCTCCCAGTGGCCTCACCTCGCGGTCAAGTGCGCGCCCATTGGACACGTTGAGCCTGAGGCTGCGCCCGTCCAGGTAGAACCAGGCGGCGTCGTGGCCGATGAGGCAGAGCTGCAGCGGCGCCCCAGGCACGTCCCCCCCCGCCGGCAGCCGCGCCACCAGGCTCCCATGGGCGCTGTTCTCCGCGATCTCCGTGAACACGTTCCCGAGGCTGCTGCAGCCATCGCCGTGTGCTGCGCCCGCGGGGTGTGGGGCACGTGTGGAGCATGGCCATGAGGGTCCCCAGACCCGCGGCTCCATCTCTACGTCCCCATTTCCTCGTGACCCCATCCCCTCGATACCCATCCCCTTAGGTCACCAATCCTCATGGCGGCTACCCCCCAGGTGCCCAAGCCTTTGGGTCTGGTGACCATGTCCCCTGAGTCCCCTACTTTTCGGTCCCCATGCCCTTGGGTCCCCATGTCTCATGGTTGTCACCCCACAGGGTCTCCATCCCAGCGTCCCCTTCCCAAGGTCCTATTCTATGGTGACCCCATCCTTTGGTCTTCATTCCCAGGGTCCCCTTCCCTGGTGACCCCATCTCAGGGTCCCCAAGGCCCCGGCCACCGTCCCCACCAGCAGCTGGGTCCCCCCCATCCCCACTGTCCCCATCCCGCGCTCACCGGTGGCCAGCAGCAGCGCCAGGCAGGCGGCCAGGAGAGCCGGGCAAGACGGCGCCGCCATGGGGACAGGGACGGGACCCTCGGTGGTGCCCTGCACGGGGGAAGGACCGGGGCTGGCACCGCGTCCCCGTCCCTTGTCCTTATCCTTTGTCCCCCGTGCCCTCACATCTGGGTCCCATCAGCCATGGTCTCGTGCTTCCAGCCCCAGGTCCCCATCCCTGTCCCCCACCAGGTCCCTGTCCTGTGTCCCCTTCCCCATTTTGCCATCCCTGGGGTCTCCATCCCCACATTCCTGTACCCTGTGGGGGTCTCCCTGCCCTTGTCCCCGTGATTCTGCCTCCCCCAGTACCCATCCCTCTGTTCTGATCCCTGGGTCCCCTTCCCCTCGGTCCCCATCCCCAGCTCCCAGTCCCTGTTCGTCCCTACCCCTGGGCATCCCTCGTTGTTGGGTACCCCCCGTCCCCGCGGTCTCGGGTCTCAGGGGGCCGAGGGGACACCCGTGTGTGTCCCCTCCGTGTCCCTTTCGAGTTCCCCCCATGCCCCCCCACCCGGGCACCCTCAGCCTGTGGGGGCGGTCACCATCTGGCGCGTCCCCCCCATTACCTAATTAGAGCGGGGGGGTCCCCATCTGCCACCCAACCCCGCCCCCCCCCCTCAGCACCGCACTGGGGTCCCCCCCACGCTGCTCCCCAACACCAGGACCCCCTCGGACCCCCGCCGAGCCCCCCGGACCCCGTTACCTGCCCGGTGCTGCTGCCCCGGCCCGGGGGGGGAGGGGGGGATTAACGGGGGGAGGGGCCGCGCTGCCCGCACCGCCCCGTGCGGGGTAAATCCTGCCCGCGCCGCCCCGTCTGCCCCGCGCTGCCTTCACCGCCCTGCCCGTACTGGGGTGTCCGCTGCCTGCCCTGGGGTAAGTCCTGCCTGCCCTGGGATATCTGCTGCCTTCCGTGCCTGTGCTATTCCCTGCCTGTGCTGCCCACTCTGCCTGCACCACCTTGGGGTGTCTCAATACCTGTGCCATCCCTGCCTGCACTGCCTGCGCTATTCCCTGCCTGCGCTATCCACTGCTTGCACTGCCCGCTCTGCCCTGCCCTGGGGTGTCTCCTGCCTGCCGCTCTCTCCTGCCCGCGGATGCGACCCGCGGGTGCATTCCCCTCCCGCAGCACCTCCCCTGCCCGTGCCTGCTGCCCGCACTGCCCGCACTGCTGCACCATCCCCTGCCTGCATCCCCTGCCCTGGGGCTGCTGCCTCTGCAGAACGACGAGCCCCGAGTGTGCTCTTCACTGCCTGTGCTCTCCTGCCTGCGCCATCCCTGCCTGTAACAGGTGAGTGTGCACGGGTGTGTGCCCCATGGTGAGTTCAGGGTGGGGGGTGCGGGTGGTGTTTGGGGTTGCACTAAGCAGCTCTGGGGACAAGGATGGGGCATGAGGGCAGCAGCTGATCACAGTGTGCATGTGCACGTGTGTGCACATATGCAGCTGTGTGTGCATGCACACATCTATGTACATGTGTGAGTGTGTGTGCATGCAGGAGTGCTTTCGAATTGTGTGCATGTGAAGGCTTCTGCATGCATGTGTGTATGTGTGCGCACGTGTGTGTGTGCGTGCAAGGGGGATGCGTGCATGCACGTGTGTATGTGTCTGTGTGCACACTCGTGCGTGCATGCAAGAGGGATGTGTGTATGCACACATGTGCACGTGCCTCTGAGCACGTGTGTACATATGTGTGTGTGTGCATCCATGCATGTTTACGTGCATGCAAAGGTGTCTGCATGCACATGTGCGCGCATGCACATGTGCATATTCATGTCTGCATGCACGTGTGCACATGTGCAAAGGTGAATGGATACACGTGCATGTGTGCGCCTGCATAAGTGCATGTGAACATCAGTGTGTGTGCTGGCATGTGCGTACACGCCAATGGGCATGCATGTGTGCACATGTGTCTGGGCATGCACACGTGTGTGCACACACCTGCAAGTCCTGATGTGTGCAGGCACGTGTGTGCACAACTGTGTATGCAGTTGTTAGCACATGCACACGTGTGTGTGTGCAGGCACATGTATATGTGCATATGTGTGTGTGTGCAGGCACATGTATGTGTGCACAAGGGTACGTGCAGGCACATGTGTGGGCACAAGGGGGTGTACACGCAGGCACATGTACATGTGCACACAGGTGTGTGTGTGACCCCTCATGTGCGCATCACCCCCTCAGTACCCCCCTGGTCCCTGGGGTCTGGGTGTCCCTGTCCAGCCCCCCGTGACCCATAGTGTGACCCTGCCCCATGTCCCTGTGCTCCAGTGCGCCCTTGTCCCGGCCTCCCTGTGCCCCAGCGTGTTCCCACCCATGTCCCTCTCCTACCCTGCTCCTCATGGCCTGTCCCTTCCCTCTGCTCCATAGTATGTTCCTCCCCCACCGTGCCCCACAGCGTGTCCCCACCCCATGTTCCTGTGCCCCATTGTGTGTCCTTGTCCTTCCGCTGTGCCCCGTAGCATGCTCCCACCCCATGTTCCTGTGTCCCTGTGCCCTTGTGCCCCACAGAATGTCCCCACCTTATCTCCCAGTCCCCCCCAGCCCCACGCCGCACCCCACAGAGCACAGGAGGCCGTCAGCGGTGACAGCTCGTGTTGGGACGCGCGGGGGGGGGCACGGTCCAACGGCCGCGTGCCCCTTGGGGGTCCCGGACCCGCTCGGGGGCAGGGATGGGGCAAGAGTCGGCATGGAGCAGGCAGGGAAAGGGCACGGACCGGCAGGAGGGGACGGGCAGCAGGCAAGGACGAGGTAGGGATGGGCAGGGAGCGGGCACAGTGAGCCAGGATCAGTCAGGATCGCTCAGGATCACCCAGGACCAGTCAGGATCACGCAGCCCCGCGGCAGTACTTCCTGTTCCAGCGCTGCTGACCCAGAGTCACGGGAGCCTCAACCCTCAACCCCCCCCATCAGCTGGCCCCCGGGGGGGGGGTTTAGGGTGCCCAGGGAGGGGTTTTGGGATCTAAAGAGGGTTTTGGGGTCCATGGGGGTGGGGGCTGAACTCCCCCGAGGGTGTTGATGATCCCGGAAGTGGGGTTTAGGACCCCGGGGGGTGTTCTGGGGTCCTGGAGGAGGGGGTCCAGGACACCACAGGGGGGTTTTAGGACCTCAAGGGGGGAGAAATTGGGTTTCCCGGGCAGGGCTGATGTCCCCCGGGGCAGTTCCAAGGGGGTTCCAAGGGTGCTACACGGGGGTTGTTTCGGGGGAGCCCGCTCCTAGCGCAGGTCCTCGGGGGAGAAGAGGCCCCTGGCGCGGCGCAGCACCGAGTCCTTGCTGGGGTCGTAGGGGTGGTCCTTGGAGGGGATCTCGAGCACGGCGGGCAGCGGCCGGCGGTGCTCCTCCACGGCGTGCCGGATGAGGTCGGCCACGCACTGGCTGATCAGGATGATGCCGATGTCCTCCCGGTTCAAGAAGCTCCTGCGGGCGGGCCGGGGGCTCTCATCAGCACCCGGACGCCCCCATCCCTACCCGGTGTGTGTGTGTGCCCGCCCCTCCCCGGCGGAGCGGCGCCTACCGGAACGCCTCCTCGATCTCGGCCACGCTCGTCTCCTTGCCCACCACCAGGAAGTTGGGCTTGCGGTGCTTATCCAGCTCGCCGATGCCGCCCAGCAGGAACCCGGTCACCGTGTCCTCATCGCCCAGCACCGCGATCAGCTTCCCGCGCACCGACATGGCGACACCGGGACCCGTCCGCGAACAGAGCTGCCTCCACCTGCCGGGAACCGGGACAGGCCACGCCCCCTGCCCCTCGGAGCCACGCCCCCCGCGCCGGCGCAGCGCGGTGCGACCGGGGAGGCCCCGCCCCCGCCGTAGTGACCACGCCCCCTGTCTGCTATAGCCCGCTCGCCGTGGCCACGCCTCCAACTGACTACTCCGCGTACCCTCGATGCCAGGGCAACGTCGCTGTCGCCCCGCCCACACGGCCGCCTCCCAGCATTGTGCATGCGGGGCTAACATCGTGGGGACACCCCAAAGCCAAGGGGGGGACCCCCAGATTCCATGGAGATACTCCCAAACTCCATGGGGTCACCCCAAATTCCATAGGGACACCCCCCAACTCCTTGAGGACAACCCCAAACCCTATGGGGATACACAAACCCCATGGGGATATCTCTCAACTCCATGGGGGCAGTGTCAAACCCTATGAGGACACCCTCCAACTCCATGGAGACACCCCTGTCATGTCAACTTGGGGGTCGTCCATCATGTCACCACAGAGAACCTCGATTATGTCACTCCAGGACCCCCTCCATCATGTGAGACTGGGGACCATATCTGGGAGCCTGTATCACCAACACAGCCAAGACCCGAGATCCTGGTTTTCCTCACCTTTAACTTGCAGATGGAAGCAAGTTTCTCCCCCCAGTGAGCCAGGAGGATCCACACTGTCTCCCCCTCTTAGGAGCAATGCTGCCCATGGCAGCAGATCGAGGACATGGGTGAGCTGTGAGAGGACCCACTGGCTGCAGAGAAGCTTTCTCAGGTCACAGTTTAAAGGTCTCCAATGAGAATTTAACTCAACAACCCAGTTAGCGCACAGTAAATCCCGCGAGTGCTGGATATGTGTCTTCACTGCGGCTAAACCTCAGTAAACAAGTCTGTAATCACCCAATGGCAATTCATTAGCAAACAAGAACTAATCGCAACAGGTAGAGAGCTGCTGAGATTGAAGTCGGTTGGTTTACACTAATGAAGTACAGAGGTCCAAGGACACAGATATATTCTAACCAACAGACAGGCACGGACGAGCGCTGCAGGGGAAAAAGGGTTATTATTTATTGGCCCAGGAAAGCACCCCAGCAAGGGCAGGCTGCAGCAAGGCATCCTCAGCACCGCTCCCTGGGGCCTGGCGCTGGCAGCAGCGCGCTCGCAGCTCCCCCACACGGCGGTGATGCAGCAGCAGCAGCAGCAGCACCAGCAGCAGCAGCAGCAGCAGCACCAGCACCAGCAGCAGCAGCAGCAGCAGCAGCAAGCCCTGCGCAGAGCCCTCAGCGCTCTCCCGAGGCGGTGGGATCGCCGCCGTGGGGCCGCTCCTGGCTCTGCAAGTGGCAATCAGTGCCTGCGGGGGATGCAGAGCTGGAACCGGGCAGGTTCCTGCTGCCACCTGCAGCGAACGCTGTCCCGGGGCCTCTCCTGAGGAGGCGTTCATGGCTGTAGCAGAAATGGACAGGGACACCGAGAACAGTGGGCAGGTCCTGATCACGTCTCTGGCTGTGGTCCAGGGAGCCAGCCAGCAGCTAGTGGAACACCAGGGCCTGGATGTGGCAATGGCCAAAGAGGAGGAAGAGTGGGAAGAGGTCATTGCTAAAGTGTTGTCCCAAGTGAAAGTCATCACTGCACACAACATCTGGGTCAACTCCTCAGTCCCAGAGCTCTTCCAGGGCCCACAGGCAGATCCCCAGGCGGGATTCAGCTGTCCCACCAGCACGAGCGTAGATGCAACAGCAGAGGCAGCCAGAGACCTGCTGAGCACAACTCCTGTCCCAGCCAGACCCACAGGCACCAAACTGGCAACTTCTGCACTGGGTAGAGCTGCAGAGGAAGAGGAGTACCGCATACCTCTCACTCCTGTGTCACAAGAGGAGGAGGCACCGGCACCAGCTTCTCCTGCCTGTGACGAGCAGGAGGCAGCACCACAGGCACAGAGCCAGGCACCTGCCCTGCTCAGCCCACACAGCTGTGCTTTCCCCAGGGGCTTTCATAGAATCACAGAATAGTTAGGGTTGGAAAGGACCTGAAGCTCATCCAGTTCCAACCCCCTGCCATGGGCAGGGACACCTCACACTAAACCATGCCACCCAAGGCTCTGTCCAACCTGGCCTTGAACACTGCCAGAGATGGAGCATTCACAATCTCCCTGGGCAACCCATTCCACTGCCTCACCACCCTAACAGTAAAGAACTTCTTCCTTATATCCAATCTAAACTTCCCCTGTTTAAGTCTGAACCCGTTACCCCTTGTCCTGTCACTACAGTCCTTAATGAAGAGTCCCTCCCCAGCATCCCTATAGCCCCCCTTCAGATACTGGAAGGCTGCTATGAGGTCTCCACGCAGCCTTCTCTTCTCCAGGCTGAACAGTCCCAACTTTCTCAGCTTATCTTCATATGGGAGGTGCTCCAGTCCCCTGATCATCCTCGTGGCCCTCCTCTGGACTTGTTCCAACAGTTCCATGTCCTTTTTATGTTGAGGACGCCAGAACTGCACACAATACTCCAAGTGAGGTCTCACAAGAGCAGAGTAGAGGGGCAGGATCATCTCCTTCGACCTGCTGGTCACGCTCCTTTTGATGCAGCCCAGGATACGGTTGGCTTTCTGGGCTGCGAGCGCACACTGAAGCCGGCTCATGTTCATTTTCTCATTGACCAACACCCCCAAGTCCTTCTCCGCAGGGCTGCTCTGAATCTCTTCTCTGCCCAGCCTGTAGCTGTGCCTGGGATTGCTCCGACCCAGGTGTAGGACCTTGCACTTGGCATGGTTAAACTTCATGAGGTTGGCATCAGCCCAGCTCACAAGCGTGTCAAGGTCCCTCTGGATGGCATTCCTTCCCTCCAGCGTATCAACCGAACCACACAGCTTGGTGTCATCGGCAAACTTGCTGAGGGCGCACTCAATCCCACTGTCCATGTCAGCGACCAAGATGTTAAACAAGACCGGTCCCAACACCGATCCCTGAGGGACACCACTCGTTACTGGTCTCCAGCTGGACATTGAGCCATTGACCACAACTCTTTGTGTGCGGCCATCCAGCCAGTTCTTTATCCACCGAGTGGTCCATTCATCAAATTGATGTCTCTCCAATTTAGAGACAAGGATGTCGTGTGGGACAGTGTTGAACGCTTTACACAAGTCCAGGTAGATGACATCAACTGCTCTACCCCTGTCCATCAGTTCTGTAGCCCCATCATAGAAGGCCACCAAATTGGTCAGGCAGGATTTCCCCTTAGTGAAGCCATGCTGGCTGTCACCAAGCACCTTGTTGTTTTTCATGTGCCTTAGCATGCCTTCCAGGAGAATCTGCTCCAAGATTTTGCCAGGCACAGAGGTGAGACTGACTGGTCTGTAATTCCCCAGGTCATCCATTTTCCCCTTCTTGAAAATGGGGGTTATATTTCCCTTTTTCCAGTCATTGGAACTTCATCTGACTGCCATGATTTCTCAAATATGATGGCCAGCAGCTTAGCAACTTTATTCGCCAGCTCCTTCAGGACCCGTGGATGGATTTCATCAGGACCCATGGACTTGTGCACGTTCAGGTTCTCAAGATGGTCTCGAACCAGTTCCTCTCCTACAGTGGGTCCAAGGTCTTCATTCTCACAGTCCTTGTGTCTGCCTTCCAAGACTTGGGTGGTGTGGTCAGAGCCTTTGCCAGTGAAGACCGAGGCAAAGAAGTCATTCAGAACCTCAGCCTTCTCCAAATCCTGTGTAGCCAGTTCTCCTGATAGCTTCCGGAGGGGGCCTACGTTGTCCCTAGTCTGTCTTTTATTCACTATGTACCTATAGAATCCCTTCCTGTTATCCTTAACATCCCTAGCCAAGTTTAATTCTAACTGGGCCTTAGCTTTCCTAACCTGGTCCCTAGCTTCCCGGACAACATCCCTGTACTCCTCCCAGGCCGCCTGTCCTTGCTTTCACCTTTTGTAAGCCTCTTTTTTCATTGGAATTTTCCTCAGGAGCTCCTTATCCATCCAAGGAGGTCTCCTGGCCCTCCTGCTGCTCTTCCTCCTAGTTGGGATGCAACACTCCTGAGCTTGCAGTAGGTGATCCTTGAATATCAACCAACAGCCTTGGGCCCCCTGCCCTCTAGGGCTATATCCCATGGAACCTTACTAAGCAGGTTCCTCAAGAGGCCAAAGTCTCCTCTTTTGAAGTCCGCTGCAGTGAGCTTGCTGCACGCTCTTCTCTGTCCTGAGGATCTGAAACTCAATCATCTTGTGATTGCTGCATCCAAGGCTGCCCTGGAGCATCACATTTCCAACGAGCCCTTCCCTGTTGGTGAGCTCGAGGTCAAGCATGGCACCTCTCCTTGTTGGCTCCTCTATTACTTGCAGAAGGAAGTTGTGTTCCACACAATCAAGGAACCTCCTGGGTTGCTTGTGCTGAGCCATACCATCATTCCAACAGATGTCAGGGTGGTTGAAGTCACCCATGAGAACGAGGGCCTGCAAGCATGAGGCTGTTCCTATCTGTCTGTAGAGTGCTTCATCCACAGATTCCTCTTGACCAGTCGGTCTGTAACAGATCCCCACAGTAATGTCTCCCATCGCTGTTTTCCCTTTAACCCTGACCCACAAGCTCTCTGTTAACTGCTCACCAGTCCCCAGACAGAGCTCCATACTCTCCAGCCTATCCCTAACGTAAATAGCAACTCCCCCTCCCCATCTGCCGGGCCTGTCTTTTCTAAAAAGCCTGTAACCTTCCATTCCAACACTCCAGTCACAGGAGCCATCCCACCATGTTTCTGCGATGCCTATAGTATCATACCCCCGTAGACGTGCACACATCTCTAATTCCTCTTGTTTGTTCCCCATGCTATGGGCATTTGTATAGAGGCATCTGAGCCGAGCTCCAAATGAAGCTGGCTCATTGGCTGGAGAGGCTGGAATATGTCTACATTGCTCTGAGCATTTATTATAGGTGCTGGCAACCGACTGGGAGTGTTGGGATGGAATGATGCCCCCCTCCCCCAACACATCTAGTTTAAAGCATCCTTGACCAGTCTGGCAAGCCTCCTACCAAAACTGCTCCAGCAGCTTCACCAGCCCCCAGTAGACCTGGCCTTCCAGACTGAGTCCCATGTTCTAGATACCCAAACCCCTGACTGTGGGAAGGCTCAGGGAATACCTTATAGCAGCTTTCAGTACCTAAAGGGGGTCTACAAGAAATCTGGAGGGCGACTTTTGATAAGGCCATGTAGGGACAGAACAAGGGGGAATGGCTCTAAACTGAAAGAGGGGAGATTTAGATTTGGTATTAGGAAGAAGTTTTTGACTGTGAGGGTGGAGATAAGCTGTGGTTGCCCATCCCTGAAAGTGTTCAAGGCCAGGCTGCATGGGGCTTGGAGCAAGCTGGTCTGGTGGAAGATGTCCCTGACCATGACAAGGGGGTTGGAACTGGATGATCTTTAAGATCCCTTCCAACTCAAACCATTCTGTGATTCAGTGATTCTATGAAAAACCTCAGGTAATGATTCATCTGTTGGAAGACAATAACAAACTAGGCTTTCTTCTCTTAATAATACTGTAGCAGAAGATCATGAAATACATAAAAAGCATCTCGAAATAGAAGTTGCACTGCATTAAATATATGGTTTAGGTGGTTATCTTTGAAGCAGAGATCTGCTATGCCCACAGAGAACTGAGCAATCATGAGCTTTATTCATCTTCACAAGCCCTGTGAATTTTGGGAGAAACTGTCTCTGAGCTAGCAGAAGTCTGATGAAAGCACTTAGAAGAAAACTCTCTCATTTGTTAATATAACAATGATGGCTTAAATAAAAGACCAACCATGTCAGCTGCTGAGTGCTTGCAACCTCTATTTTAAATGAAAGAGGAAGGAAAAACCCTAGATACAAATTCTGTGACAAGCAGGAATCTGTAAAGTCAAGGATGAGAAGGGAGTAAAAAGAGGGACACTCAGATTGCAAAGATGTCAGTGTTACAGATGAGTAAGTGGTAGTGTGGTGTTCACAATACACTAACGAAGAACCAATGCAGTCATTCCAGCACATTTAGGCTCCTGTTGTTTACACTGTCCTCTATTTTATGTGAATATTTAAGACCAATTAGGCTTTTTGATTCTGCACCACTAGTCACTGATGTAAAAGTACAGCATCCTTTGGGAGCATACCCTGCTAGGTCTGCTGATAGTAAAGGGTCTGAGGAGAAACATGAGGGATGGTCACCAAAAATGTCAAAACCCCCCAGATTAACAAGGTAAACAATTCTGTTCTGGAACTGGGAAATATCCCAAAGCTATGCCAAGTAAAAATGTAACTGTCATTCTAAGTGATTCCAAGGCGAAAAATACATCTTAATCTTACAGCAAAATGACATAAAATAATTGCTTTAGACAGCTTTGAAGAGCTCTCTTGTCATACTACTTCTAGTTTCTGACTTTCCAGACTCCAGTTTTGCCTGAGGAGAAGCTCAGTCGCAGATGAAAGGCTCTGCAAACCCCAGACCCCTTTCCCGCTCCAGGGACCAGACCTCTGGGAGCTTGAGCTGGAGCTAGGCTCTGGCATCCTGAAGCCTACCCTGCTTGTAGTCCGAAACGCTGCCCACCCTGGGAGATGCACACATGCACCAGCTTGGAGCCTGCAGCTCAGGAGAGAAGCTCAGGGAACTGATCTGGCATGAAAGAGACGTCCTCTGTGACCCCAGGACCTCACTGCACTGGACTAGCCCCCATCAGGCTTTCAGCTTGCTTCTTTTCTTTTACTTTGCACTGATGAATCTTTGACTAGGGGATTAGGTATCTAGGAGGGCTGCTGAAGCAGACTCCATGGGGAAGTTAGGAGCAAAACCACCCCAGTTCCAGATCCTTGTTAGTCTTTGGGCTGTTCAGATCAGGTCCATGTGCAGAAGCATGGGAAGTTTTGAAATAAATAAGCTAGGTACCCAGGGTGTTTCAGTAATCCCAGAATTAGGGAATTACACAGGGGTTTGAACTGTGATTTTGGTTTTATGTGCCTAATCTCTGCTTCAATTCAGGTGCCTTCGGAGAACTTAAATCTGACTCTAATTTGAAATGCACTGCTACAAACTTTCTCAGCCACCAGCTGAGAAGCAAGAGCTCTGGGAAGTCACCTGGGGAAAGGTAAATCTTATCTGTCACACTGGGCTACAGTGGATGCCAAACAGAATGAGTCAGCTTTAAAAGATTTTCCCAAGTCAGCTCAGAAAAAGTGATTATATAGGATTTAGGAACCAGCTACTCAGAAGTTTAATAATGACTCACCATTTCCTCTGCTTGCTAGATTGCTTAGCACTGGCTTGGATGCGATGCTCTGATAGATCAGCTTTAATAACAAGCTGTGTGATTTACCTTGAGGTGGTATTTTATTCTGTGAAGATAGCTCACATGAGAAAGAAGGAAAATAATGCTAGCATAACAGAAGGTGTAAATATGGTATATTCCAGAAATATCTTTAAGCTGCTGTTCTCATAGCTGTTTCAAATTCACCTGGATTTCTTCCCCTAAATCCTGTGACAAGTCGAGAAGAGAACCAAAATGCCCTGAGTGTAGTTACCTCATCAGTGAGTCTCTTTAAGGTGAAAAAAAATTAGGAAGGTATCACTTCCAAACTGTTCTGTCTGCTCACATCATCACGTTTAGCATGAGTCCACTGCATCTGTGCCATTGGAAAACCAGGTCATTTAGCCTAAACTGATGCTGCAAGCTGCTAAACTGGACTGACTCTGTGTAGGAGCTGATGAGTACTCGCACAGTTGGGTGTCTGGCTTCATCTGGGTGGAAGCCTGACAGAGCAGGAGAAACAAACAGGCTGTGATAACTTCTAGTCCATCTGACCAGTCTGAAGTCTCAGCTCCAACATTTACTGCCATGGCAACTGGACAAAAGTGTGGTTCATCAAGAGGTAGAGCAGCAATATACGTAATAAATCAACGTATCAAGGGCTTAATGGAAATTATTAGAAAAAAACCCACAATTACTAGGAAAAAAGGAAAAACTTGTTCTGTTCCTGACTAGGACTATGTTGGAAGGTAAACATCCTGAATCCCACTGGGCTGGTCTTACAATCACTGAAAAATACTTCTTCATAAACACCTTCTTCTTTCAAACTCAGTGGAGTTCACACAGTTCAAAATACAGATGTGAAATTGGAGTTCTACTGTGAAACACACTGTGGAAGAATGACCTGGTACACTTTCATGCGTGTTGTCTTTCATTAATTCAATATCAGAATATTAAATCTGATGAGTGTTTCATGTATTGACATGAAATTACTGACTATACCTTAATAGTAATAAAAGCACAGTGTGAACATAAGTGTCTGTTGGTACTGTGTTAAAGAATTCAGGGGTTCTCCTTTAAGCACCTTCACCTGTGGGCAGAACAAGCCAGAACGTAGCAAGTTCCATTCTTCATCAGAACCAAAAATACAAGTATGTTATCACACAAGTATGCCTCATGGGAACAGCTCTCTTAAATTAAAAGGGAATATGTGAGAACAGTTTTAAATTCTATCACATTACTATAAATGAATCTGTATTATTCTCTGAATGGCTGTTACATGTGCAGAGTCACACTTGAAGCAGGAGGAAGAGTAAAAATATTCCTTTATTTGTCACAAAACCTTTGCTGCATGTCATGTCAAGAAATAATCTTCTCTGTTTTACATGTCAAAACTAACGTTTCTGGGACCATTTTATTCTTAAGCAAGTAATTTTGGATGCAAAGATCTCACAGTATGGAATATGTGCATCATTACTGTTTGGGGCATTAGGAACACTGTGTGAGTAGTGCTGATACAATGAAAGAGAAATCACGATTCATTACTAGCTTCATAAGGGGTGGGATTTACCAGTGGATTCAAGTCAGTGTTTTGCCTTTCTCCCTGGAAAGCTGTCAGTGAAAGGAAACCTGCTCATAATTACTAATCAAAACTCTAGCCAGGAGGTGGTTTCTAAACGAGCTCCTGTGAGACAGCAGTGCTTATTAAGAATGGAGATTTCAACTGTAGGGTTTTTTTTCCCTTGAAAAACAGCTATGGATAGCCTGACTTCTTTTGCTCTGTTTTAGATGAATCTTCTACTTTTTCCTTCTGCATCCTCAGGAAGAAAGGACCTCTTTCTTGTCAATGCTCACAACTTCCCCCATTCCTCCATAATTTGGCATCTTCTATAATTTTTCATCCTCCTGTTCAAGGTAGCCCCCAGATTTGCCTGTGTTGCCCCTCATCTCTCTGAGCTACCCCAGAGAGTTTTGTGACTGGAGATGCTGGGAGGAGACTCCTACATACCATGGCTACCACTGCAAACTCTTTAACCACTTACAGGAGAAATCTTGACTAAGTTGCAAACGTTAAAGCTCCACACCAAACCTGCCCTTCTATTTTACCTCAGTCTATTTGCCATATGTCATGTCAAATTTTATGCTTCAGAAGAAATACAAAGTTCATTGCAAAAGCTACACCAAACAAAAACTGTGAAACAGCCCTACAAACAGCAGAGCGCGCAATTCGCTAGATATTTGTGTATCAACATATAATGTTGTATCTGTATCAACACATAATGTTAATGTATAATTGTGTATCAATAAAAGGGGAGGAAATGAGTCAGTAAACAGGTTCTGGTTGCAGGATCACAAAAGAATTGCTACATACAATCAAGACTGAAAAATCTATTATGTTTTGAAAAATAATCCTATAATTTTATTTCTCAGCCATAACAAAGTCCTGGCCTGCAGTGATTGCTAAAGGTCTCACACATTTCCAAAGAAAAAGGATATTAACCGCAGCAGCATATCAATCCCAAACACACATTCCCTTTCTGCCAGTCCATCATGTCTCTGGCAGTTTTGTCTAGAAAACTTAATTTTCACTGTGTGTGAGGACTCCCCAAAGGGAGTTTTATTCTTTACTCTTTTTCCTATAATAACCTCCTCTCCTCCAACATGGTTTGAGCAATTTGGCTGTCATCAGGCATTCACTTCCCATGAGTGTCTTCTGATCCATATGAGATACATGACACAGCACAGTGTTATCTGAGCATTTTAACTCTTTATGAAGTTCAGAGCTGCCATACCCCTCCTATCAAACCTACTTCCATTCTCCAGACTGTTTATTTAGGACAGAAGCTGGTTGCAGAAAAAGTGCGTAGTGCCATTAAATCCCAGTGGATTAAAAACCCTTCTGACCTTTATGCTCATTGCTGCTTGGCAGCATTGATCAGTAAGATCTCATCACTCTTCTTGGTTTTTCTATTATCCACCCACAAGCACTTTGCATCAGAGTGCCTTATACAAAAACAGAAGGCAGGGTTTAGTTTGTTATTCTCTATCCAGACCTGGAAGCAGCTGGGATGAATGGGAGGACTGTGAAGCTCTTCCCTGTAATGATGGGCTGTCTCTCATCTGCTCCTGAGTCACCTTTTTAATTTGTACATCCTCCTTGGAACCCTTGCTTTTCCAACAGAACACCTATTGGGAATGGCTGTTTAAGGAAAAAGAGAAGAATGAAAATTAGTGAGAAGTTAATCTTTGTATTCATTAATTTTGTTGTTACAAAAGACGAACAGTTGCATTTAAGCTGGTTTTAGCTGTAATCCTAGCACTTCAATTGTCTCATTATGCTTGTAAGATCACATGAAGAATATTGCATTAAATTCATTACCATGAAAGTATAGAAAAATTGGAGGAATGCTAACAAAAAACAGTTAGTGAACAACAGTGATTTATTTATAAAGGAAGATTAATAGCTAAACTCAGGAGCCCAGATTAAGGGAAGTAATTGTAAAGGCTCTCAAAGGACCCCCTGGAAACAGGCTCAAACCTCAGACTGTGAAAGTTCTTTCTCGTTTTTATTTAGTCCTTGTTCAAGAAAAGCTCCAGTTAAACACTACACAGGGAGAAACTGGCTACAAATATTATCCAGACCTAAACATTAAGTAGAGCTTTATATAGCTAATGTGAGCAGTGGCTTTTGGTGGCAAACAGCTGGAAAGTAGAACTGTACACAGGTAAATGACTTCTCTTGGCAAGCTTTAGTGGCTACCTCTGAACCAGAAGAGAGAACAGTCAGGATCTGTTCTTCAGTCCTGAAGCTGAACTGCAAGAAGGCAGAGAAATGCTCTCAGGGCCCAGGCATCTTCTGGGATGGTGCTTGTTGGCGCAGGCAAAACCGTGCCAGTGTTCCCAGAGCTGCATACAGTGTAGACAACAGCACACCTTTGCTTCAGCCCAGTTCTGGCCCCGGTTAGCTTGCAAACACAGATGTAAACTGGGTGCAGAATCACATCCCACAGTCACATGCTACTGGCAGTAAGGTGACCTGCATAGGAAAACTGAAAAAATAAAAATGGAGCACAGAACGTACTGAAGTCTGAGGGAAAAACCCCCCATTTACTCTTCCCTGTTATCAAATTGTCTTAAAAAGCAAAAATGAACAAATACAGAACAGCATTTAAAACATATTCACTAATATCCTTTTATTTGACAGTCTCAAAAGACAGAGAATTTTCATTTTCTTTTCTGAGATCCATTCTCATGGAGTTTATTAACTAGATCTTTTGCTGTTTGTTGTAGGAAGATAGAAATTACGCCATTACAGAGCAACATAGCTCCATAAATGATAAACATAAATGAACAGTTTTGGATTCTCTTGCAAAAATGCAGATTTCTGTAATTCACAAAGGATTTCTCCTCTAAACCATTACTTATGACAGGATACTGGAGAGAAAAAAGCAGCAAACCAAAGTATTATCACATGCTCATTAGTTACCTACTTTCATTACAAATAGCACTGGGGGATTTCAGGAATTTCATAGGAAAGCTGGCCTTTGATTTTCTTGTTGGTTTTGTTTTGTTTTGCTTTGTTTTGTTTCCTTAGCCTTTTCACTAATGGAACACACTGGGATAATGTAAGGGGGGTTTGGTGGGTTTTGGTTTTTGTTGTGTTGTGGTGTTATTTTTCTAATAAGCTAACAAGATACAGACTGTCTTTGAAACAGCACTGCAAAGTATTATCCACGGCAAAACATTGTTAAGGGAGTTTTTATCTGTTCCTGCAGAATTATATAATAGTTTTGATTTCCCTCCTGAGAAATACAAAACTGTAAGCACGACTTGGAGCCTGGTGAATGAATGCAATATATTGAAGCGGATCTTCTTGTACCCATACATTTAATTATTAAAACAGTTATATATTTTTTAAAGTCTGTAGCTGCAGCCACTCTATCCAGATTCTTTTTGTGTGTTGGGGTTGCTTTTTGTTCACTCAGACATAGAAAAGAAACTTGCAGCACCATTTTTTTTAATGCTTTGCAGCAGTGTGGTTAAGTTAAAGTAACTGATCTTACAGGTGAGGTCACTGTTCTATAAGGGGAAATACATGCCAGACGGTGCAAAGTTTTTGTGGTCTTGAGAAGAAAGAAGAATGAGACCTCTCTTTCTGCTGTCAGGCTTTTGGGGAAGTCAGCTTTGTAACACCAGATAAAGTATTTCTGAATTTGCTTTTAAAAACTAATCTATGTGCCTTTGCACAGCAAACAAATGGCCAGAAAGAACTGACTATAAGAAAGGTAGGTAAGGGCTTGTCAGAACATATTTAGTATTCATTTTCATGACCACCTTGACACTAGACACTTACTGATTCTTGAAAGTAAGCTTAACATTCCTACAGTAACAGGTTTCCAAGATCTTAAGCAAAAGAAGAAAAATTACAGCAGTGTACCCAGCATGCTCACTACCAATAATCCCAGCATGCTCACCACAAAAATAACATGCTGATTAACAGCTCCTAGGAATACTGGTCCTACTTAGTATTCATAGGCCCTTGAATCAAGTTCCTCTCTCTTGGGTCTGATCAAGAGAGAACGCTATTGTCTGTCAAACACACTCTACTTAGCAATTTGATGCAGCACGAGCTGATGTGGCTGTGACATAGTGGCAAAGCCCTTTTAGATAGCTTAAGGAAATGCAGGATGGCTGCGTTAATGCCAAAGAAGAAGATAAGTGGCCTTACACAACACACTGCATTAGGCTCTTAAAATGTTACTAGCCTGGGCATGTGAAGAGTATAAATGTACACAATAAGGATTTGATTATGTCCAATAATAGTTGAGCATTTGCTATTTTACAAAGCAATTCTGGCTTCTATGTTAAATACTATGTGCCCCGAGGGAACACTGAAACAGTTTGTGTCTTATGTTTCTTACAGACGAAAGAATGAGAGAATGCTGAGACACTACACAAAGCTAGGAAACACAAACCAGTAGCCAAGGCACAAAACCCATCATTGCTGAACTTTTTTTTAAAGGGATTTCATTGTAGAGGGCTACACAGATGACTACACAGGCTATATAGAGGACTATAAGCTTTATGATATTATCAAACATGTTTGTTTCTCCTCTGCATTTTAAAAACAGGTCTTTTTAAGTATGATTCTTTTATATCTATTTCAAACCATTTCCTTTGCACTTTGCATCAAGGCTTCATTTTTTTTTTAAATGAAAAGGTTGTGTTGTTTTTTAGATTCTTCTGAAGCCTTTAATAGGGAGCAGTCCTGTGTCAAAACTTTGAATTAAGCACAAAGAACTTGTCTTACTTCCTAAAGCTCTGAAAATGCCAAGCATGTTTTCCAAGCAGACTTCAACATTACTGCTAATGCTGTGGTTTATACTGGCAGAATTCCAAGTCAACTCACTCTATCCTGAACTGGGGGATCAATCCTACAACTCTCAAGTTTTCGGAAAGCCCCTTTTCTAGACAATAATTAAGTATGCTGCAATATGATGTTCTTGTAACAACTCTCACCTTTTTCCTTTTATACATACATCTCAAGCTCTGCTAGTTTGATACTTACTAAAGCCTGTGAGACATATCTCTCTCATTCATGGTAGGTCTGACATCTTCTACAATTCATTGTCATGCTGGTAAGTAGCTGACAACTCCTGGGCCTCACGTCATTTTCCAGGAAGCTCATTCCCAGCAGTAAGGATAGCTGACTGTTATTCAGGTCCAGCACTTGAATTTAACATCATAAAAGGCACCTAGGCTGGGTTGTGTTGTCCTTAATTTCCCCTCCTCAAAAGTACTGCTGTGGAAATGATCCCTTTATGGCACCCTGAAAGATCATGGGGAAAACCCCAGAACACTTCCATCTCAAGATGAACGGAAGTTAAAACTCTCTGCTATTCCTGCTTCCTGCTGCACTAGACACATCACCTGATTTCATGCTCCGAGGGCTTCCAGCTGATGGTCCCTTTAAAAGGGATGTCTGGCATGGGGTAACATGAAATATAGCAAGTCTTGTCAGATTATACTCTAAGATTTGAGAGTTATCATGGAAGTTATATCATGGTGCATTAGAAGGTAAAATCGTAAGGTTGTCAAAGCGTGTTTTAATTTTACTGTACATTCTTGGGTTTTGGGGTGGAATTTAAAGTGAGACAGATGGAAAAAAAATCTAGTCCTCAAAGGTAATCTAAGATCTCAAGGCATTTTTCAAACTATGATTTAAAACCTGTATGGCAGAGTAATTTTTGACTGAATCTCCTGGTCTTGTGCTCATCTGTTTTTTAATGCTTAACAATGTTTCCTTGCGCGTATTTGTTGTAAATTTCTAAATCTATACAACTGCTCATTTTTCTATTTTTCACTCTTACGACTTTCACGGATGGAATGCTTCTTGTATTAGAGTTAACAATTTTACCACTGACTTCACAAAATTGAAGATTTACTTTAGCTTCTATTCTCTGACCGCGCAGGTAGCAGTACTGAATAAGGGGAGGTCAGAAAACGAAGCAGACAGGGACCTTAAATTTATCTATATTGTGGAGATAAGCAAATCATTTAGTCACCAGTTTTCAAAAGGATCTTCTTATTTCCAGTGTTTGACCACCTAGCTCTAGAAAACTGATGTTACTTCACCTAAGCTGCAAACAGCCACATTTTTGAAAATCAAGACTTACCCATTTAAAGCTGGGCACGCTGGAAGCCATTCATAATCAGGATGCATCTAACCTTAAGTATCTGTTCCTCAGTCTTCATAAAGTAGTATATTTCCCTAGTTGAATGATAAAGAGGAATAGAAATGTAAGACACCATGCAGGAATTCAGCATGTATAGCATAGGGACTGGAGAAACACAAGGAAATTCCAGACTCAGGCTTGCTGAATATGGAATTAAGTTTGTATTTTCAGAACAGACGGGGGGTACTCAGACATCAGTTTCACTTACACAAATACACAGCTGAATGTGAAATGATGTTTCCTAAGAAAAAAGGATCTTAAAACACTGATTCAAATCTATCACTGCATAACACTGTGAAGCACTTTGTATCAGTAAGCTAATGCTTTATATTCTGTAAATTAACATGAATGTCTCTGTCCCCTTGTCTGTCTCCTTTTTACAGGCCATGTGTTTTCAGCCTGCCATATTAAAGAGTTACTTCAGTATTGGCGAATTAAGCTGGAGAAAGAATACCATTGTTTAAAGTTAAATCACAAGAAACGAAACCATCTACCTCAAGACTCTTATTTCCATGAGACGTGCAGCTGGTTTTCAAAATCATGAAAGTTGTATTTACATGTCTCTGTCTGTTTACTGGTACTAACACAGTAATGCAGGTATTCCCAGCAAGGGGGAAGGGGCAGAGAACCATACTAGGACAGAGGGAGAGTCCATGCTCCTAGGTGTGACTGAGCTGAAGGCCTTCAGTTTTGTGACAAGGTAGTGAAGAGAAGACAGAGTCCCTCCTGGACCATGCATGGGAAGGAGTCATGAACAAATGGGAAAAAGGATTGGGTCTCTTTTAGACAAAAAGGAAATGTAGAATTTTTATCTACTTTATATCACTTTTTCTAAGCGTATGTACAAATAACATTTGCTTCCCTTTTACAGGGTTTGCCCATGCTGCTGGCAGCTTCTCAGAAGCTGGGCAACCTGTCTGTGGCTGTGTCTAGACTGGTACATTATATTTAGCTTCATATTGGGCATTTTTACATTGCAGTTTGGTCTGGAGTGCAAAACTACCCATTTATGTAAGTTTAGATGGTAGAATCCACTATCCTTTTGCACTTGCACCTACAGCTTTTGTCTCTCCTTTAAAATGTTACATGACCTTAAGAAGCAGCTGGGTGAAACACAACACGACAGACTGGAAATCTGCTTTCGTGATTTGATGTTTTTGCGATTGGGTCATGTAAAGACACAGAATTCTCACTGATCGATTAACAAATGCACTATTTCTGCAGTAGGGCGCTCACAACAAACGATGGCAGGGTCAGGGTCAGGGTCCGGGTCCGGGCTCGCCCACGTGCACACCCAGCGTCTGCTCCTTCCACCC